CCCCAAAACCCCAAAACCCCAAAACCCCGTTAAGTGAGAATCATGAGAAATTATGAAATCAAAAATTATAATTAATTACTCAATTTTAGGTAGGTCATTAATTTTTCTTTTTTATTGCTGTGCCTGTGATTGCTTTTATCATTTCCGGAGACCGCATTATATCCACAAACGTAAAATACAATTCTTCCTCCCTATTAGATTTAGGTTAAAATTAAACTTACTATTCTAACTAACTCCTTAGTCGGTAAATATATATACACTCGCATAGCATCAATAACTGCTCTGAGTTAGGAATTTCATAAATGAATATTCTATTTCCTCCAATGACTAAAACATTTCTTATAAGCTTTCCAATAACAAGCACAATTGAGATATAGAAAGTTAAAATGGAGTATTTGAAATAACTAGGTGAGATTCTATTTGAAAAAGTGAAGAATGAAACTCCTGTAAGATTTGATTAGAAGAGGTCTTTTTCGTAGCTAGAGGAATTTAATACCTGGTCTACGGTCCAGTAATCTTTGCATGAGTAAAATATTCTGAGTCCCTTTGTCCAGTTAGACATCACAAGTGGAACCGCAACTTCTTTGTCTGTCAGTAAATTAACCTAAAACAATAGTAAGTAGCTATTTATTTACCGATGTAAAGAAGGGTGGAACTATGAATGTATTTGATAAACTTTGATTTTAGGCACAATCCAAACTAAATGTCTTATTAAATGCTTTGACAATGTTGTAGAATTATGGCAATCTCAAATTCAAGTTTTCTTAATGCTGAGCAGTTGGGGCATTTGGGTTCTAAAAATATTTTTAAAAAGAAATTTCTTACAGATCTATCAAATTGATACTAGAATTGAATTTATATTGACGTGTTTCCAATATTAGATGCTGCATCCTTGAATTCTTGCTACAGTGAGAGTCTATTAGGTAGTGAGACACCCCAATTAGTATCACTGAAGTTGTTCATTTTGACGTATTAAATCAGCTCCATATCATAGCTTTTAGTCTTAAGTTCATTACCAAACTTCATCACATTGTATTATTGCTGGTTTAGATCTGAAAGTTCTGTAACATAGTTATTTGTGAACAAGTTAATAGTATTAATGGCCAAGCTATTTTCTTGCTTGATCAGCATATTCAGTTTAATCTGGGCATTAACTACAGGATTCTTCTCTGAAATTGGGTTAAAAGTACTGAATAGTAGAAGAGGACCAGCTATAAGTAAAATGATACCAATTTAGCCCATTACACCGACAGCTAGTTTCATGAAAAATGGGATCTGCTTGCCTAGTGGCTTTCTTCTATATCTTCCTTAGAGACACCTTGCTAGGAATAACTCAGCATGAGTGCTACTAAGAATAAACCATTGGAAAACATCTAAAGCAGTCCTAGTAAATGTCCAATCTGCAAATGTCTTAAGCTCAAACAGGAATGGAACTGCCATGAATCCTTTAAATGCATATGTATTCATATAACCATAGTCATTCATCATAAAGTTTCCTTTCTTCATCTCTGGTAGTCCAAATCTAATTTGCAAAGCACTTGTCCAGAAGTAAGCACAATATAAGATGTAGAATATTACTAAGGCCCAATTTCCTCCAAATTCATTGCAGCCTACAATACTTTTTTTGTCGCAGTAAGCATGATTTTGAAGCTTTAAATTACCTGCTATTGGGAAGTACCAAAATACGAATAAATGGATGAATATCAATAGAAGCCACTAGAGATAAAACTTTGAGACTATAGCTAAGGTAATTTTTGTCTATTCAAGTACAATTTATCTTTCTAGTAATCTCCTCTCTTCCTCTTCATCAGATGATGAGACATCCTCAAGATGCCTAAGTTTAGCCTTTCCAATCAACTTGTGGACTTAAGTCTCTTTTTTTAAAAATTGGAAGAAAGATTTTCCTCTGTCAAGGGATTCAACATTTTTCCCTTCTTAATTTTCTGCAGTGCTATTTTATTCTTATCTGACACTCTTTTTCTTTCGCTCTTTCTCCTAAACCTGAATGAATGTTTTACTCTTGTAAAGATATCTATCTATTATCATGATTAGTATTTGTAAGAAAAGGCCAATGACCATTTAACCAGAAAACTGATTGTATGTCATAACATCACTAATATTGGTAACATCTGCATCCATTTTTGTATAAAAGAAAATGAGGAATAAGCAAATCAAGAATTGGAATGTTGCCATAAGAGCATATAGATCCTTTCCTGGTTTTTACTCCTTCACACTTGGGAAGAGTCGAGCAAAGAATTAGTTTTTGTAAAGGACTCTCTGAATGTTTGATTGAATTTTAAGGAAGAACCCAGTTTTGATCTCTTTCTTGATTCTATCCTATTCCCAAAGTTCATTATAGATCTTTTTCAAATCATTGATTTCAACCATTGAATTAGGTCTAGTGTCTTTTCGTTTCTTTGGAATCTTTTGATTATCTCCTAGTTCTGCATTTGGTATTTCATCATCATCTAAAGGTTTCAGTATTAATTCTATTATTCGATCAGGTATATTGAATGAATTATTCCTTGGAAACTCTTTATAGAATCTTTTAACTTCTCGTCTCAAGTCTATATCATATAAGTCGAATGAATCCTCATCATCTCCAACATAAGATTGTGAGATCATTGTGTTAACAGCAGGACTAAACTTATTCTTTGTTTATTAAGTCTAATTATTTTCTTTTCCATATCTTAACTATTAAAAAATTCAAACAAATATCAAATCCTTACGCATCTCAAAAGCGCTTCCTCAATACCTTCAAGTTATGACTCTTTTAGATATAATAATCCAGAGATAATTTCCTTTTGTATATGAGACATAATCGAAAATAGTATTAAAATTTCTGGCAAGAAATAAGCTAGCATATCTCCAAAAGCACCGGAAGCTTATCTAGTTAAACCGATATGATATGTGTTCTAAAATAATCAAGGTCAAAAGCAATTGAAAAATTACCAAAATATCTTAAAAGGACTAGATTTCTTCCAATTCAAAAATAGCTTCCCAGAATTAGAGCTGGAATAAGAACTTAATCAAAATCAGGAATTCTGTATAGATTAAAATACCATACCAGAATTTTTTGGACGGATTTATTTCTTCCATAAGGGCATAACCGAATACTATGAAAGGGTAAAATACTGAGATTAATCCGGCATTTTTCATCATACTAATTATCATCAGGAAATAGCACACTGAATCTGAATAAGTGACTATAAGTTCGAATATGAACTTCAGATAACCTTTAAACAATCCACCAAAACTAATGTATTCTTGAGTTCTCTTCAAATCTTTGATGTCAACATCAAATGTTTCACTTTGACTAATCTTAGATTCATATTGTTTTCTTAGCTCTTTGATATCTTTTATCATCTTTCTTTCCATTTTTGTGTAAATGTTTGTTTTGGCAGAAATCATGTCTTCGGCTACTCTTTTTAAAAAGCCTTCACTCTAAATGAAAATAATTTGCTCTGTGTGCTTTTTCTTTAGCCAAATCAGAGCTTTAGCGAAAGGACTTAGCTTCTTGGTTACTTTCTCAAGAATCTCTTCATCATCTTTGAACAAGAACTCTTCCTCCTCAATGATTTAAGGTAATCTTGAATTTCTTGAGTCAGTTATAATGAATGTCTCCATATTTCCTTTTTTACCCTTTTTATTCTGAGCTAAAACTGTTTGGGATCTTTATCTCGGGTTACTTCCTATAATACCAAGAGAGTCATCTTCTTTATCATCAGGATTTTTACCCTCTCTCATAGCTGCTTTCCTTTAGAGTGGTTCAGAAACTTATTGACTTACTTGCTAAGGTGTTAAAGGCTATCTTGTTGTCTAAAAGTTAGGATCATGATGATGATCTATTTCTTAATCATAGAACTACATCTACCACTTTTTAATAAGCTTTTTAAGTTTCACAAGCATATCATCCATCTTTTTCTTTTCCTAAGTTTGCTATCTTATCTTCTCAATCTTTTCATTGTTAAATTTCATTCTTATACTCATGCCCTTAGTTTCAGCCATATCAATGAACTTCACTAAATCTTTCTTAACGTATCTTTTATATGCTGTTGAAGAGAAGATTTAAATCTGGGAAGTCACAAAGAAGTAAGTAAATGTCTTTAGCACAATGAAAATGATACTTCTAGCTACTGCTTCGTTATTAAATGAATCTTCAGACCAAATCTCTTAGAATCCAATAATGTTCTACCAGCTCCATCTAATCTCTTGGCCAGCATGCAGAAAGTCCAAAGGAATCTGGAATATTAATTGCAAAGTAATATCAATAAACACATAAGGTCTTAGCCAATATTTAAGGACATTTTAGAGTCTGAAATTCTTTTATTCCTTTCTGAAAAATTTATGATTTTCATAGATCATAATCATACAGACAATAATATATCCAAATGAGAATAAACTTCTTGCAAGAATAGCCAGAAGCAAGGTGACAACTATAGTGATCTAATGGAAGTGCATGAAGATAGAGAACTGTATTCCTTTGTAAAAGTTGTAAAGGAATATTGAGTGCTTTAATTTCCTCGTTTCTTTCTTGACAGTCTCTGGCGAGCTATCATTACATGCTAATTTACAATAATCATCAAACATCTCATTTAATAGATCTCCTTTTACTACTTTGTAATCAACAGAGAAAAGTTAGCATCCAAAATAGAATAAGTGAGCTTAGATAAAGCCCATAATAGCATAATCAATCCAGAGACCATTAAGTTTAGTGTTTGATATTCCCATTCCAAGGTATAGAGCCCAATTTAAGGAATCCCTGAGAAGTGGTATTTTAAGATACCATGGAATAAAGAATCTTCCTTCAGGATCTTCCTCTGTTGGATAAGGATCAAATGGATAGGGGAAATCCATTGGATTATTAAATGATGTCAAATTTGAAAGAGCAAGTCCATATTATAAAATCATGCAAAATCCAACTATCCAAGCTATTCTGACCATTGTTCTTATCTTTCTTCTTGTCATGTAAATAAACACTCCCAAAAGCAATATTAATCCAATAACACTATCTTTGTAAACACTTGATATCAAAAGCATTAATTGTATAAAATCTTCAAGGAATATTTTTACTCCATTTAGGAACTTAATCTTATATCTTTTTCTTAACCATCTTCTTATTCCTTCTCTAAGTTCATCTTTGCTTAGCTCTTTAGTATCAGAACCTAAACTGCGTCTTTCTTCAAATGAGTTTGATCCTCTGTCACTTTGCATACTTTCACTTAAGGAGCTTTTGGCTTTCTTGTCTGATTAATTTTTGTCATACTAGAACAGTTTACCTCTTGACAATTCTGAGTATTCACCATCTTCATCTTCTTCTTCTTTAATCGCTTATTCTGCTATCGTTAAATGTTGTTTTTCTTTGGGCTTACTGAGATGCTCTTCTATTTCAGAGAACCATTTTGCCTTTTCAACTGAACATCCAAATCTATTTAAAGCCCATTGTTAAGCATTCTTCTCAAAGATCAGTAATATAAGGATTATCAGATATCCATAGATATTATAGAAGTAGCCATGACCTGAAATCTCCCAAGGACTATGATAAATACCTCCCCAGAAAAGATAAAATATGAAGTAATCTAGCGCATTTACCAATTCAAACTCCTCAAGTTCAACAAATGTTTTTCTTATCTGATATATAAATTCAGTTGGATAAAGCAGAGCAATACATAATAATGTTACTACAAACTAGAAGAACCATGCTCTCTGTCTTAGCTTTACTTAATGTTCATTCACAACTCTTTTATATTTCGTCCAATGCTCTCCTACCTCTTCGACAGTTAATGTACCTTTACCTTTATAGAGAATTTTTTCTCTTTTTCTATTTTGATAAAGTCTAGATGAGATTACTAAACACAAGCCAATAAATACGCTTAAATGTATAGCCATTGATAGTGAAATTTGCCAGTAATTTGATAGTATCATTATCATGATACTAATTACGACAAAGAGAATTTGAGAAAGTTTATCTAGAATTACCCATACTTTTCTGACTTTATATACTAAGTAAGGAGTTGTAAATCTTATCTTCAGATATTCTTTTTCCCAATCTAGATTAGCCTTATCTTAGTCATAATCTTCAACCATATCACTATTCCTTGAATGTTCTCTTCCATCTTGAATGTTATTCGGGCCCTATGTCTATTTCATTTCATTAATCCAAACATTCAATTGTTTTCTCACATATACTCCAATAGAAAAATAAAGCAAGTATATCAAAAACTTTTGCCAGATGTATTTACTGTAAACCTGAAATCCGATTATCCCTAAGTTTTTTCTGATCCAATAAGGGAACATATTTAGAAAATCATCAAGTTCTAAACTCTTTCTTACGATTGGTAAAGCGGCAAATTAATAAGTGATCTATAGTACTAATACTAAGCTTGAATAGTATATTATTATATCCCAAACTCTGTCAAGTCTCTTTATTCCTGTATTTGCTGGTGCATTATTACCCACTGCTACATAAGTAATGATGAAGATACAGATAATAATCTAGAATCCCCAGTTTATAATGCTCTTTGTAGAAAGAATAATCATCATGAAGAAAATCACAAAGCAAATAAGTATCAAGAACTCTTTTTTCAAGTGATGTAGAAGCTCCCAGAGGTGGTATATTCTTGGATATCTGCCCTTGAAATTATTTTTAGCATTTATAGAATACTGATGAACTTCTTTTTCATTGTGAAGAAGTCTGTAGACTTGAAATTGAATGAATACAACAAAAACAAGTATCCACTACTAGAATTTCGGAGTATATTTAAAATATTCTATAAGAGATTAATTTATATTTAATAGTTATTGTCTTACTTCCTTGTTCATCGTATTCTGTAGCAAATCCCATGACTTATGCAAAATCATCTATTAAGCTGTCCTCTGGAATGTAGTGGACGAGTAAAGTATATAAATACCTAAATGATGTAAAGAACATTGAATTACTTTTCAAAAACAAAGAAGTCAACATAATAAAGCAGTATAATGTAGTTTCTTTTGAAGCATCTTGGTTTTAGAGTGTATGCAACAAAAAAGAACATCAAAAATATGTGATAGAAGTCAATCTTATTTACTCCTGAGAAGAATATAGCTGTAAAAACTATGAGATCTAAGTTTCTAAGTAAGCTGAAAAAGAAATAGTAAATTGTAGGAGCTTTTTCATCAGTAAGTTTTTAAAGTAGTTTTCTCTTTTGATCATCCTTGTTAAAACTCAAGTACTTTTAGCTTGACTTCATGAAAAAGAAAAATGGCAGTAAAGCTCCAAACATTAGCCCAGTCTCAAGGCAAGGGATTGAAAATTCGTAGAAACCATAGCTTTACCATTAATCTAGGTTATCTCTCATCTAATCATATTCAATTACTCCAGGAATATTGATCAAGTAGTAAAATAAGAATATGAGAACGAATATTGGTAAGTAAAATCTATTAGTAAAGTCAGCAAACCTTCTTGTGCTTTTGAAAACAGTACTATGCATAATCCACATCAAAATTATCCAAGATTGGAAATCATGATAAGTGTAGCACCAGATAAATGCTGTAAATCTGCAGATCCAAAGCCAAATTTATGGAGAAAAATCTTTGTAATACTATGAAGCAACAATCTGTATAGATGATTCATCGAGCTTTTATCTTAATCCGAGAGTTCTTTCTCTAAACTTTCCAACTGTTGTTGCTTTAGAAGCACTTTTGAGATTTGGGGCAAATGACCTTCCTCTGTCAGTTTTCTTCTTGCTAATTGTCTTCATCATTATTTAGTTGTCTGATTCTCTCTCAGGCAGATGATCATCTACTGGTAGTATTCCTTGAGGTAAATTTTTGAAAGTTGATGCTCTAGTTACTCTGTAGAGTTGAATGACCACAATTATTATAACCATTAGAATTATATGGATTATGACCTAATAATTAATAAACTAATTGAAATTACAGCGTAAAGCTTGATGTTTTAAAGTATGAGTCCAAATAAGTCACAAGCCATCGAAAATTTGCTATCAATAAGTTCACTATTCACAATGGGCATTTGAAATATGAAGGTCACAGTTAGTTGAAATGCTATGATACCCTGAGAAAAGCAAACAATTAGATGTCTAATTGAAGTCCTCTCATATTTATCTAGAGCCCAAACAGTCATCATTATCAATAAAAGGACTGAAATTATGATTTAAGATGAAAATGAAGGGGTTACTTATTATGAATAGCTAGAATACAGTTTATACCATTATTGAGTCAAGAGCTATAGATATTAATGCTAGAATGCAAATCGTTTCCTAATGCTTTTCAAAATGCTGATTGAGTAAAAACTATCCAGTACCATCTGCTTTTAACCCCTCTCTAAGGTCTTTTCTTTGACTACCGTACAAAACTGTTATTAGAATGCAAAGAATAAGTTCAATGATATCAAATAGCACACTAATAACGACATTTACCACTCTAATTTTAGTTGTGGATTATTATATGTAAATTCCAGAGGTCTCATATAATAGTACATCCTCACTGTCTAACTTTAATTCACCCATATTACGGAGTTCCACTAAGAAAACTATCTTGGTGATTATGATGGCAAAGGCTATGAATAGTATGGCTATTGAAGTAAACTACTTGAGCTTTATTTTCTTCTCATCCTTAGTTAAGCAAAGACCAGTCAGGAATAGAGCAAATACGAAATAGAGAGCTGAGCCAAAGTTAGGATAAAAAACACTGTTTAAAAGTAAAAGTCCTATCAATATCGGTTCCAATAGATTGAAGCAAACGATTCTGCAAGCTATACGTCTCTTCTGTTTTCTTATATATGCACTGTCATTGCTAAGTTTGCCCTCGGATTGAGCGCGCTATTGTGTAGGGAGTATGCCTCGCTACGTCAATAAATTGTTAATTTGTGATCCTCTGCTCTTAGGCTGATTACCGCTACCTACTAAAGTGTTTTTAGAGTTCAGAGTAACACCTCTATTACCATCAGAATCGGGCTAGTTTCCTCCTGAACCTCCAACTGACAGAGGTCTTATTGTCTGTGACTTTTTGAATATAGTAGTAGGAGACATATGCCTTACTGCTAGATCTTGCATTTCAAATCTCTAATCACTATTGTCTTTACCTAGAATTACTTTTCCTGCATTCATCACAGTCTTACTTCTCTCTTCCTAAACCACTTCACTTTTGAATTCTTCATCTGGATGCTAGTCATCTGAGTCTAACAGATGCACCCTTAAATCCTATTCGTCGCTATCCGACATTTAAAATCGAATAATCTAATCTAGAAATATTATTAATGTTTAATATTTAATTTAATTTTAATTATAGGTGTTCATTCTCGATATATTCATCTTCACCTTACACATTCTTCCTTACCTCTAAGTCTCAGGGGTTTTGGGGTTTTGGGG